CCTGTTCTCCACCACCAACCAGCTCCTCCGCCCTCCTCGCCATGTCTCGCAGATTCTTTCCTCCGACTCCCACTGCGAGGAAATGATGGACTTCCTCGAATCCAAAATCGAGGGAATCCGCTCAGCTGCCACTGCCCCCCCAACTTCCACCCCCTCCCTAACCCCCCACACTCCGACCACTACCCATCCCTCCTTCCACACCTTTGAACCTGTCAACTCTTCCTCTGTCATCACCAACATTTTCTCCATGAAGTCCACCACCTGCTCCCTGGACCCCTTTCCCACCCCTTTCCTTAAATCCCGGCTCCACCTCCTTGGCCCACTACTCGCCGACATCAACCTCTCCGTCATCTGGCACTGTTCCTACCCCCCTCAAAACAGCCACTATCACCCCCACCTTGAAGAAACCTTCCCTTGACCCACAGCTATCCAGCTACTGCCCCATCTTCCACCTCCCTTTTCTGTCTAAAGTCCTTGAGAGAGCCATCGCCTCCCAGCTTCGCTCTTTCCTCTCCTCCCACTCCCTCCATGAGCCCCTCCAATCGGGTTTCTGTGCTGCCCACAGCACGGAAACTGCTCTGGTCAAGGTCACAAATGACACCGTGACCATGTGTGACCGGGGCTCCCTCTACCTCCTCGTCCTCCTCAATCTCTCCGCCGCCTTTGATACTGTGCGGACTGCTGAACGCTGACCACTCAATCCTCCTCCACCGCCTCTCCTCCCACCTCAACCTTCAAGGTTCTGTCCTTGACTGGTTCAGGTCCTACCTTTCACACCGCCTCCACTTCATCTCTGCAAACGGCTTCTCCTCCAACCCTGCAACATCTCGTGCGGTGTTCCTCAGAGCTCTGTCCTCGCTCCCCTCCTCTTCACCCACTACATGCTCCCCCTTGATGACATCATCCGCAGACATGGGGTAAATTTCCACATGAATGCAGATGAGACCCAACTCTATCTCTCTGCCGCCACCCTCAACTCCAGGACTACTGGCGTCCAGACCGACTGTCTGTCCGACATCAAGTCTTGGATGAGGGACAACCTTCTCCAACTCAACATCGGCAAGACCGAGGTCTTTTTGATTGGCTCACGCTAGTGCCTCTGCACCCCGGACGCTGGAAGCATCAGCCTCCACGACTGCACGCTCAACCTAACTTAGCCAGTCAGGAACTTGGGTGTCTTGTTTGACGCTGAACTGTCCTTTCTACCCCACATCCGTGCCAGGACCGGCACTACCTACCACCACCTCCGCAACATTGCCAGACTCCGCCACTGCCTCACCTCTCAGGCTGCCGAAACCCTCACCCACGCATTCGTCACATCAAGCCTTGATTATGGAAACTCCTCCTCATTGGCCTTCCCATCTCTTCCCTTCACAAGCTGCAGATCATCCAAAACTCTGCAGCTCGTGTACTCTCACGCACCAGACTCCGTGACCTCATCACTCCCAGCCTCGCCCAACTCCACTGGCTTCCCATCCCCCAGAGAATCAAATTCAAGATCCTCGTCCTCATTTTCAAGGCCACCCATGGCCTTGCCCCCTCCTACCTCTCTGACCTGCTGACTCCCTACCAACCTGCCCGCTCCCTCCATTCAGCGGTCTCCGGTCTGCTCCATGTCTCCTGCCCGACCCGCCCTACCATCGGTGGCCAGACTTTCAGCTTCTCTGCCCCCACACTCTGGAACTCCATCCCACAGTCCCTTTGCCTCGCTTCCTCCCTTGCCTCCTTTAAGGCCGGTCTCAAGACCCTCCTCTTCGATCGTGCCTTCAGTCACCCTCCCACCTCTCTGCCTTCCCTCACCCCTACCCCACCCCTCCCCCATGCTTGGGTCCTGACCCCTGACTGTGCAGTGCCTTGGGACGTCCTCCTCATGTGAAAGGCACTCTATAAATGTAATTTTGTTGTTGATATAGCGCCTTATCATGTCTTTGAGATGTCTCAAAGCACTTCATAGAATATACAATGAAGTGAATTGACTGTATACTTTGTGAGCAAAACACAGCAGCCAATTACACACAGCAGTGACCCACAAACAGTTGTGGATTGAAGTGACCAAATTTTTATTATTATTTTTTTTGAAGGAATTATTACCCCTGGAAAAGCGATCCGCCAATCAACTAACAACTGGGTTCCTACTGACTGCTCGGTAAACAGAGACACGTGGAGTAAAAAAACTTGCCTCACGTTTCGCCCGGCTGGGAATTGAACCCAGGTCTCTTACTTGCGAGGCGAGTGCTCTAACCACTGAGCTACAGGACTACACGTAGCTTGGCTATTGCTCCACATAGCTCAGCTCCATTATTGCTTCCGATTGTATTTGTTTGAAAATCAATGGACTATCCATCCCACTGTACCCTAGTTCCTACTGAAACTGAGTTTACTGTTACATGAGTTCATGGTAAACTAATTTCTTTGCTGATAGCACTCACTATAAACAATTCATAACTCCTGATCATTTTGCATAAAGCAGCCCTCTTGCAATAAAAAAAGTGAAATGCATTGATCATTAGATTATTAGACATCATTTACATTGGATCAGAGTGTTGCTCGATCATTGCTAGTGAATGTTCCAGGTACACATGTGAACTTCATTACTCCTGAAATTGATGACGCACCTCTAGAGATAAAATTCCACCCGGGTACATCAATTTTGTTAGGGAAGCAGCAATGTATGGCAATTAATAAAGCTTTGGGTGGTTATGTGAAGCTGGGACGTCTTTCACACCTTCCTGTTCAGTTACAGGGAAGTTCTATTTGATGCTGGAATGTTTTTCAAACAGCTGTGCTTTTTCTACAGTTTTACCTCAATGCTTGTCATGTTGTGGTATTGATTTGTTTGGTGTAATTTCCTTGAAGCTTTTGAAATTCATAGTCTTTCCACAAGAGCTCTGAAAACCACAATCCTGAATAGGATGCAAAGTCTTGAAGGGACTATGATTGATTGATTGGAAGGAATCTTTACCAAGTGACAAACAATCCAAATTTGCAGAATAAAGTGGCATAAACTGGTCCTCAGACATACTATATAATTAAAGTGATACCACTGACCGAAATATAGATATCAAATGGGAAAGATGGGAAGTACTGAACCAGAAGATATGCACGTTTTTCCCGCAAGGATTTAAGAAAAAAATTGGCCAATATACCTTCCACCAACAGGGAAAAATCGGTCATATATTTTGTGTTTCAACATCCTTTTACTGATATGCAGAGGAACTCAATGATTGACTTATTTCCTATGCCCACGACAATGCAATTGATTTGCATTTCCTATACCCAGAATAATGATCCCATGGTGAATTCATAAGACAATTATTCTCTCTATGTGATCCATATGGCTACATACTTTGAAGGTTATACGTTCTCGTGGCCTCTCATGAGTGTCTTGGTTTTAAAAGTTTTAAAAGTGTTTTGGTTTTTCAAAGGCAAGTTTTAGAACATGTCAATTGGGCACCGAGGCAATTTGTGCAGTTCATACTCATTATGGAGACAAAATGAGGTGAGCTTTCTCCTCCATCAAATCTTGGAATAAGTGCCTCACTGAAATGTTTCCTGGGAGCAATATTTTTTTAAAAAATCTTTGGAAAGCAAAATCAAATCCTGAATGAATTCTGAGCTGATGATGGAATATGATCAACATTTTTTTGGACTAAGTGCAGGTAAATGCTTTCAGTTAATAGTTAATTATTAATAACAGTTAATTATGTATGGTATGTATGAATTAATAGCATCATTAAGGATCATTAAATTATCTGTTCTGCAGTTAGTACAAACAAGTCCACCAAATATGTTGATATTCATTCTCCCGATTGTAGAAAATCGATCCAAATAGTCTATAATAAAGTGAATTGTGAATTTTTATATAGAGTGATTTTCTGGAAATGCTATTCTGCTGTTTCAGCACAGTTTGAGTGCTGAGTATCCAGAACTAAATTTATCTCAATATTTTGCAGATTTTTACATCAAAAACACACCCTAAATTGCTGATTATTCTACTCCAATCCTAAACATAGTGAAATTTAATTTTGTACTTAAAAGTACCCTTTGAAAGATTTGACTTGAGAAGTGGTCTGAGCAGAATAATCCCCAATATTTGTGGGACATCAATAATTCCAAGTGACAATGTTGTGCTCTTTAGAAACATTATTGAGGAGGAGGAAAATAGGGCAAGTCTTACAGAGATCCATTTCCAGTCGTCTGACTCTCTATTGACAATGCCTTTCAAGTGTATCCCATGTGTAATCTCCTATTTGATGAGTTATTCTTCCATAACCTAGATTCTGCTACTGATGTCAATACATGAAAGGTGATTAATTCCCCTGGTTGCTAATGGTAGCAATGTCCAGAATTCCACCTCTGTGCCCAATGGAGCTGAAAATACTTTGTTGGAAAAATAACAGTGGGAATGATGCCTTGCTGGGCAAAGTGCTTCATGATGTAAAACATGAACCTTGCAGGGGAATTCCATGTGCTTCATGGAACTCAGCTCCATGAATAACTCCAATCAGTGCATTTTCCACCCCAGTGTGAATGTTGCAATATTTAGTAACGTAAAGAATTTCCTCTAGATCTATTTAATTATAGATATGTTAAAAAAACTGCACCACAAGTACATATTGTATGATACAGTATGAATATCCGTGGTAGGAGCATTAGGAAAAAAATCAATTTGTGGCTTTGGAAAGCATGCAATCCAAGGGTCATGCCTTGCCTCCATTGTTTCCTGAACTGTTTTAATCTATCCCACAGCATTCTAGCAGTGCTCGATTACCAAGACTAAGTCACTCTTCCTTTGGTGAAAGAGGAAGTGCAGTGTTGGAGGTGGTTGCAGTGGGAGAAGATAAAAGGAGAAAGATGTTTAGAGACTCTGAAGTAAGCAAGTCTGAATGAGTTCACCCCTATTGGAAAATTGCATGTGGCTTTTAATTAACATTCTCTTAATTTCTCTAAAATACCAGAGAAAAATATGTATCTCAAATAGTTGATCTTGGATAGCTTACCCTTGTAGTCTTAATTCTATTGCCAGAAGCACAGATCCATCCTGAATTGTCTGGTAACGTCTTGCATTCCTCTTCCTCCATACAAGGGTTCATCTCACACCACCATTTCCCAATAACAATGGAAGCTTTATAGAGGAGGAAAGTAGATAGCAAAAAAAAAAGTGACTATTGAGTTATGGTTGTATGCCGTAGAATATTCATTCACTACATTATATTAAGCACTTTTCTTTATCTTTATCTGCACAGTCTTCTGATTCAAGTATATAATTGAAAAGCAGCAGAGATAAACTTTATTGTGGTGTAAAATATACATTCAGTGTAACAGAATAATGTACAATGCAATTTAGCAATAAAAACATAGTTAAATTGAATTGAAATTACTTCTGACTGACTTCTCTAGTTTTGCAAATAGCCTAAGAATGTATGGAATCTTTAGCAAGACTGTTTACATCAGCGACCTAGCCTTTCTGCACAAGGTCTTAGATATCTTGCACCAAAGCAATGCATTCCGTTAGGCTCTTGACTATCTGATGGTTGATGAGAATTTAATTCAACTGTTATTCCTAGTCATTGAGCTCAAATTTACTTATAGATTTAGGAGGCATGTTGGCACACTGGTGTGTTGGTGCTCGAATACACTATGAAAGAAGAGTATTTCCTGATCTTGCCAAGTGTCAGCCAAGTGCTTTCCCTCAGGGATAATCAGAGGGTGAATCACCTTTTGCCTCTCTCAACTGGCTCAATAGTGGCAAAAATAGAAGGTTGTCTGTCTGCCTACTTGGCTGAGAGAACAATGACCTTTCACCGCTGAAAGTAATCCAGCATGATGAGCTGCTGAGAAATGCAACAAGGTTGTAACTAAGGGATTATTTATAGTTTGCGAGAGGTAGACACCACAAAACGATACCTCAGAAGGTATTAATAGTTCCTTTATTCATTAGGTAATTTTAATATGTGCTAAACAGAAACATCCAAACCAAAAATTGGTCTCAGCATCCAGGGTTTAGAGAGGGATAAAAATCAGTCAGGATTCCAACTTGTGTTTGGTTGCCAGCCAGCTACACTTGCTTGAGGTGCTTTATGTGGATTCTGGATGAGAACTGGACAGATATTCTGCCAGCATTCACTGCTAAGACTCATGCATGAATAATGACCACTTGGTTCGGGGTACCAGAGGGTGATTGGCAACAAGATAGGAAAAATTAGTCAAAATGCTTACAAGAATTAGTGGTACAGAGAGAATTGGCAAAGGGAAATTAGTTGTGAAGAATTCCAACACAGTGTTACATCAGGAATGATTTTGTAAATACTTATTCTGTTTCAGAATAGGTGAACCTGGGAGTGAGTTTTATTTTACATAAATGCACATTATTCCAACAGCTAACCTTTCTACTGCTTGGACCTAACACTCATTTTATATAAACTGTCAAAACAGAGCAGTCTTGATTTGATTGCTGACTTGTTCCATAGCAGCACTTTTCTGGATCAGCAATTGTAATATGTAAGTGTCCCTTTAATTACTATATCTTATTTCACTGTAAAATACAGCTAAATAAGATTTGAGGCAGCCTTATGGGAAGACAGTTTTGAACATTTTTGTTGCCTTTCTTTGAAATAGAAAATATTAGTTTCTTCAGTAATGGCTTAGTTGAAGATACAAATAGTTTTAAGAATCTCATCCGAGTCATAATCAGGGACTTTGATTCTGTAGAAGGATGTTAAAAAGAGACATAACACAAGAGCTGAGAAAGAAAATAAATAGTGCTATTTTACTTCAGGGAAAAATAGATGTGAATTGGCACCTGAATACACAGTATGTGACCCTTACCCCACTTGTTAGTTTACAGCACAATCATGCTGAATGGAATGAAACACCCTATTTCCTCCTTTCATTAAGATGACATTGGCTGCTGGGAAGATTATAGGATTTTGAATGTGAGAATTCCAGAGGTCATGATCAGCAAGATTAGTTGCCGTCAACCTCACAGGTATTTCACGCTCTGCAGCCTGCAACTCAGAAGCAGCAGTCACATGCTTCATGTGTATCAAAAAAGGCATTCTTTTCGAGAAACAGGACTTAGAAGTGTTGCATTAAGACCGTTTAGTGGTTCTAAATCACCAAAGTTTTCAAAATTTCAATGACATACTCTTCAGTTGACTGCAGCGGCTATGGATGGTTAGATGGACAGCATACTGGAGAGGTAGTGAAAGGTTTATTTTTGGCACTGTAAGGAACAATTTACTCAATTGTGTTTATCAGTAAAATAGGACTGAAGCACTGCCCTTTAGATCTCCTTACATCTGTTGGTAAAAGTACCCACTTCTTAAATTCTCTCACTGTGCCAAAAATATGCTTCCTCAACAACAATAAAATAGAAAATTTCTTCACTCCAAACATTTTACAATTTGTTAGCTCCAAAATTTGCAATCAATCTGACATTTGATCAGATACAAATAGTTGATTCACTGTTTAATTGCATTGCCTGCAATTTTTTAATTAAACAAAATCTTGATTTGACTGAATAATATTCAACCACATCCTGTTCTCTGGCAATTTACTTTAAACAAATTAATCTGATAAGGAATTAATTTTACTGAGCCCACAGGTATTGATATTAAAATGTTTTTATTCTGTATGCCATGTGGATTGAGAATGACTATTTGCTTCTGACAAAAATAAACAAATCAATCTTTGTGAAGTAGTTCATTGATGAACTGTGCATTACTTAAATTAGCACAGTTTTCCAAAGCTGAAATAAGAAGAGTAAAATTGATACATACAGTAAAAGAGTACAGTCTGCTTTGGGAGTCCATGGTTTTGAACATCCTAATGTAGTGCTGTGATTTCAAATAGGTGCGACTGCTTTGCTTGCTATTCTACTGTTAAATGTAATGGCAGCCCATGAAATAAAACCACAAGTGGAAAAAGTAATATAAAAATAAACATTATTTGCTTCCTCATATTATTGATAACCTGGCTGGGAGGTACGTTCGTCACCTCCCAACTCATCTTTTCAAATGCCCTCTTTGCCGGTCTCCTCAGCTCCACCATGCACAGGATCCAGCTAATCCAAAGCTCTGCCACCTGCATACCGTGGAGTCCTGTAGCTCAGTGGTTAGAGCACTTGCCTTGCATGCAAGAGACCTGGGTTTAAGTTCCAGCAGGGCACAACCTTGGGCAAGTATCCTTACTCCACATGATAATAATTCCTTAAGGAAATAAATAAATAAAAAAAACAATTTGGTCACTCAATCCACGACTGTTTGTGGGACACTGCTGTGCGCAATTGGCTGCCACGTTTCGCCCACAAATATAGAGTCAATTCATTTTACAGTATATTTACAGTGAAGTGCTTTGAGACATCTACAAGACGTGAAAAGCGCTATATCAAATGCAAGGATTATTATATTATTATTATTACTCACCTGCACTAAACTCCGTACCCCCATGACCCAAGTTGTAACCCGACTCCATTGGCTCTCTATCACCAAACAGATTGGTTCAAGATCCTCACACTCATTTTCAAATCCTTCATGCCCTGGCACCTCCTTACCTCTCCAACCTGCTTATCCCCTAACCCACAACCCACTGCCTCCGCTCGACTGGCTCCAGCTTTCTGCTTGTCCCTCATGCCCTCCGTTCCACCATTGGCGGCAGTGCTATCAGCCACTATGCCCCAAAACCCTGGAACTCTCTTTCTCTATCCCTTCACCTTGTCCCTTCCTTCCCCATCTTCAGGTCTTGCCTGAAGATCTTCCTCTTCGACCGTGCCTACGGTCACATCCCCCTCCCCCTGGCTCGGCGTTGTGCTCCACCACTGTCAAGTGCTCTGGGACCCAACCCTGTGTGAGGGGAGCTATATAAATGTAAGTTGTTGTTGTTGGTTTCTTTTGCTTGCTTGGGTTTTGAACAGCGATGCTAAATTTGCTTAAAAGCACAACTACAGCTATTTTAATAGACCATGTAGAAATGTCCACAGCCATCTGTTTAGAATTCGTTGAATAGATGTCAGTGACACTGCTTCATATTTTAAATACTGATGGGCTTTTAGTACAGCAGAAAATCAATTATCTATGCCCTGATTATCTTACTTCCTGATTACCCATCCACGCCTCTCTGACCTTGCTCCAGGCTCCACTTACCTCCCAACTCAAAACCAACGGATCTGGTGACTATATGCTCTAATGGAGGCTCCAATGGACTGAATTACTGAAATAACTTTGTAAAGCAGAGTTCGAAACTTTACATCATAAGATTGGCGAATTTGTGACTGGATGTGGATAATTAAGGTCTTGTTTCACTCACAGACGTTGTATTAAACTAATCAATTATGATGGATCAAATATCGCTAGGGTTTTATTTCATTTGCAAAGAGGAAACTGGTGTTCCTCTTTCACAATGTTCTCAAATAATTAAATGCTTCAAATATTAGCCAAATATTGCACTGCTGTGAGGAATTGGCTGCCATGTTTTGCCCACAAAATACAGTCACTATACTTACAGTATATGCTGTGAAGTGCTTTGAGACATCTTTAAAATGTGATAAGGCGTTATATAAAATACAAGGATTATTATTATATAAATAAACATAAGCCTTGGACAGTTTTCCATCAATCTGTTTTGCACAATGTCCTAATTTATTATAAGTGCCCATAGTTCCATGGAGATGGATTTTGACATAATATAAAGGATATGTTTTAATGTGCCTTACACATTTTGTGATGTTTTTTCTATGTAGCAGATGAACCACAATAACCCATGAGGTAACCAACACCAATCATGAATAATTCCTTTTCAATAACTATGTTAGAATGTTTCTGATAGAATTAACATAATTGAATGAGTTAATTGCCATTATAATATTTTAAAAATGCCTGGTAATGACTTTCCTTTCCTTTGTTTTCTATTGATTACTTTTTAGGCAAGTTAACAGGAAAACAAAATTATGTTCAAAGACTAATGACTTTTCCCTGCAGTTAATTTACTATTAGATCCAATCAATGCATCTTAGTGGGTTACAGTGCCTTATTCTGGTATGTGGCTGTGACACTAATGCATCTCCCGCCTGGACTCAAGACAGAGCTTTCAACTGAAGCATGCAGCAATTGCACTTCTTCTGTCCGA